CAGGAACAGTGCTGACGCGGAAGCTGCTGTGACACCGAATGCCTGACTGTGAAGGAGCCCGCCAGCACGGGCTGCCGAGGCCGACGTCACTCGGCAGCACGGTCACATGGACACCGGAGCAGCCAGATCCCTTAGGAAATCTGTCCTCCACCTGAGCAGCCTTCCCAGGGCTCCCCTTCGCTCTTCATCTCTCCTCAACCCACTGAGCCCTGCAGCTCTGAGATTTCTGGGGGGCAGCAGCAGAGTCAGGAATTTCACTGACTATTCATGGGAGACTGAAAACAAAACCCCATTTTCTCACTCCTGGGACTGGGTGCACAGCAACATCAGTTTGGGGACAAGCAGACAAACGCAAGCAGGCAAACCAGGGAAATACAGTACGGCAACACCTTACCTTTACACAAATGTCCCTGAGCTGAGCTCTGACGTCGGACACAAGCATCATGTTCCTGCTGTTGACAAAGTTCTCTCTGCACCATTCCTGCAGTGGAGACACCAGGAGTTAGAAGGGGCCATTCCTTCACCCAAAAAACGTGACAGTCTTCAGATACCATGAAAAGCAGAATACTCCAAACACAATCTTTCTCAGAGAAAGGTGCTAAGCCATTTCCTTGCCATATTTCTACCCCGATTACTTCCCCCCCACAGTGCTAAGGAACAGCACGTTGTTGTTCTCTTCCCACTCAGAATTGCTCGGCAAGGCCACAGAGCGCCGCGGAACAGCGCGGGCTGTCCCACAGGTGGTGACAACAAATCACACAAGAACGACAGACGCTGCAAGGAGTGGGGTACACGAGGCTACAGATCTACAAACCAAACCGAGGAGTGTACAGGGGAGGATGAATCAAAATCTGCTTGTAAATACGCTTGGCGGTTTTGTAACGAATGCTGCCAAAGAGCATGTCTAGGTGTTTATCAGCAAGTCTCAACAACCTCCCACTCCCTCCCGTTTCCAGCTGGAACCAGGGAAGGAAGAGACCTGGCTCTGGTTACAGAACTGGCCTCGCCAAGCTTCGATAACCACTTTTGCTACAGCTTTCTGGAGGAACCACCAGCACTGGAACAGCTTTCTCCAGCTACCCAACTGCAAGGGATGAGCAAGTCCCCTCTTCTCGTGGCTGCAGAAGGATGCAGACCGCACCAGCTGTGAAGGATGCGGCTGCCACTCTGCCGTACGCCAAAAAAGCTCCTCACCACCCTGAGCCCGGTCAGCACTGGCACCCTCAGAGCACCCTACCTTGTTGCCACTGACGTTTTTGAAGGCCCTGTACATGCTGAGCAGGGTAAGGTGATCCCCCTCACTGGAGATGAATTTCTTCCTGACGGATTGCACTTCATCCCGCCGGGCAGGGGGATTGTAGAGGACACTGTCCACTGACAACAGCGACACGATGGTCAGGATCTCTTCGGTACAGTGGAACTTGGGGGACACGAGGATGGTCTGCAAATCACAGGACAAAACTGACTTCTGGTCAGCCAAACCCACCGCAGACGGGCAGACTTTTCTGCTCACTGGCAGCCCAGGAACGTTACAAAAAGCATTGGTGGGGACAATTGCATAGACAGTTGGGCCTAGAGACAACTGGAAATCCTCCTATGGGCCCACCTTTCACAGCAGCTCTCACGCTCCCTCCTGAGACTGGCCAGCTCATCATACACAGTACAAACATGGTGACTAAAATCAGTTACAGCATCAGACACTTCACAAAACTGCTAAACAGCGCTAGCAGCAATCCCGGAAATGGCAAGGAAATCAGCCTTGTTTCAGCTTCAGAGGTGTCAGAGGAAAGAAATTATCTTTTAAAAAATCTTCCCGAATTAAACAACAAGTGACAAGCAAACCAGCCCAGCTGCGGTGAACAAAGCCGTGCTTCATTAACGTATGGCAAATACACTAGTGCGGCTGCGGTCACCCCAAATCCCAGACTGTGTCTGAGGAGTTTGAAAGAGAAATGCCAACGGGACTGGCCAAGAGCACACGAGATAAAAATTCGCTATTTTTTCTGTAGTTTTTACTTTAGAGAACTTTGGTTCCAGTGGAAAGGCTGCCATCTTCCTTCCCAGGGGGGTTAGGACAAGCTGGTCTTCCTTTCGTTCCACAGCTCCCAGCAGGTTCAGCTGCTCAATCGCTGCTTGAACAGCATCTGCCGAAACAAGGACGTTCAGGCTGTGAGGGCTCGGGGCTGGCACTGGCAGGGCTGCGAAGGATCAGCTGGTACCATCACCACCTCTTTCCCCTGGCCAGAGGGACAAGTACTTTCTGTTCAGAGAAATTACTATCCCAAACTGTGGTTTATCCCCCTCCGTCCAGTACAACAATCACCTTTTCCAATTTAAGCCACAAAACCAGAGGCAAAACTAAAGCTGTCGTCTCTTTGAGCAGAGGCTGTGTGAAATGCTCTGAGGCTTTCCTTGGCAGTCAAGGCACACCCTCCTGTGCTTTGCGACTCAAAACCGCTCCCTGCTCCGTTTGGAAGCTGGACACTCCAGCTCTCTGCCATAACCATGGCTGCTCTGATGAGAACGGGCACAAGCAATGAGCTGTGAATGAACCTGAGACTCCTGGACCACCAGAAGATGCAGCAGAGAGAGACTGCTCCTCCTTCACAGCCCTGACCTTCCGCACTCCATCGGCTCTGGATGGCCTGAAGACATTATTTTTAAGCAATTCCTCAGAGACTCATTGGTCCTTTTCTCCCAAGGCTGCCTTTGTAACCACTTACCAGGAGATGGTTTGGACATGAAGTCAAAGGTGAGCACGTTGGGGATTCTCAGGGCCAGGAGCTGAAGCATCACACTGGCCAGGTTACATCTGCATAGGCACAAAAATACAACTGAGATCAGTCTTTTTTTTAAAAAATATACAATTTTGTAAAAATTATTTTTTAAATTTTATTTTATTTGCCTATAACTGAGAAAGAGTCCTCAGATCTGTGCTGCAACTCGACAGAGACAAGTCCAGCGCTGGCTGGTGAAGCCTTACTTCCTAAACCAGGAAGTGTAAGACACGAGTCTAAGATTCGGAGGAAAGTCAGGAGAACTATTGCCCACGTGGGTTCAGAGCCCAACTGTCCACCCTGAGCAAATTTCTGCACCATTCATTTTTCTTAAAAGTCAACCAGTCAGACCCCAGATCCCATTCTGCTGCCCAGTTCTTTACACAGCTCCAGCTGTAACAGCACACAAAAGAGGTGTGGCAAGAAGTACGGCGGTGTCAGCGTTCTGTCCTCACCTCTGTATCTCGGGTACTGTCATTTTGTCAAACTTCTCAAACTCATCCTCTGTGTAGAGCCGGTAACAGATCCCACTCTCCTCTCGCCCTGCTCTCCCTGTGCGTTGCCAAGCCTGGGCCTTCGACACCCGCTGGACTGCCAACACTTCCAGACCAGTTTCTGCGTGGGGAAAACCATCACTTCAGTCAACGTCTGCATAATGCACAGCTTTGAAAAACATGTAGGATCAACAACAAAAAACCCCAGGGTCTGCCAGCCAAATAGTGCTCAAACTTGATTTGGTTTAGTGCCCTGAAGCAAAGCTAACTATCACACACGGTGTCCATGAAGAGAAGATTCATATTTGACAGATTTTTACCCCCACATGACTGGTACTCAGGAAAACCCAACCGAAACACACCACCAAAACCCACATCTAAAATCTGGGATATTAATTTAGCAGCGCGGAGGGTGTTTTAAATCAGCTGTCAGCGGGGCTCATTGCCTCAAATAACTTCTACAAAACCGAAAACCATCTCTGACTTGTTCCTTAGAATTCCTCACCAGGGCTGTACTTCTTTGCTTTGACCATGCCTGTGTCCACAACGAATTTAATTCCCGTAATGGTGATGGAGGTTTCCGCGATGTTGGTGGCGAGGATCACTTTGCGACAGCCCTGGAAGGAAGAGCAAACTAAAGTCAGCCAAAAGCCACCTTCGATTCGCTGTAACAAACAAACGCTGCTACTTTTGGCCAGCAGGGGCCAAGCCTACATGTCACTGCAGCACCTTACGACCACGTTCCACGCTGGCCACACCAGCTCTCGTAACCTCCAGTTCCCAATCGGTTTCTACAACACGTGCTCAGACTTGTGACAAACACCCCACGAGGACAGCCGTTACTCATACGTCTTTAAACAGTTTTGGCTTCGCTTCCGGCACAACTCCAAGATCTGAATTCTTATTTAGCTGCTGAACAGGTGCAAAAGGGCCTGAGGCTGTACAGCTTCCTTTTCTTATGGCCCTGCCAAATATGCCCAGGTTTTTAGCTTTCCCAGTATTTGGCCCATTGACTGTACCTTTTTTGTGATACGGACATAAAATCCCTACGAAATGGTGCAAATTTCAACTCTTCTGCCCTTTTCACTCCCCTATATCCTTCCTTCTTTTTACAGTCCCAGGAGGCTCATCGTACACACCTGTTGACACCATCCCAGTTCCATTGTCTTACATCACACCGGAACCACCCAGCCCGGAGTCAGTGGGCAGTGGAGACTATCACTCACTACCAGTACAGACCGCTTTAACCCCTTACATTCCACATGCTTCTTCCAAATGCTCATGGGAGCAAACTCACTCATCCAGCTCACCCACCACATTGCCTCACCTTGGGGGCAGCCTGAAAGACGCGGAGCTGTTGAGAGTAGGGCAGAGAAGCATAAAGAGGCATCACCATCATCCGGGGGCAGCCATCAGGGAGGTGCCTGGCAATGTCCCGACAGGTTTTGGTCATTGCTTCAATTTCTTCCTGACCAGTCAGAAACACCAGCATGTCCTGAGAAGAGGGTGCCTCCTGGAGCCAGAGAGAAACGCAAGTGAGACGTTATGATGGTTTGGACAGGGAGGGAGAACCCAGATTGCAATGGGATGTTTTCCTGACAGCAAGTCAGCAAAGCGGGTAAGGAAGAAAAGACACACGTGTGGTGTGAGGGATGCAACAGCCTGAACTTCCCAAGGGATTCACCAGAGGTGAAGAGTAAACCACATTTTGCAGGACTGAGTCTCAGCAGGATGGAGGAATCGCCTGAAGTCACCTATGTAGGTCATGAACTAACTGCCTGGGACACGCAAACAGGAGAGCCGGCCAGCACCCAGGTACAGGCCAGTAAACAGAGGACTCGGGTGAGAGGAAACATTTAGGCATTAGGTATGAATTGCCATCAGAGTGCTTGGCTTAGCAGCCTCCTTTCAACTCCAGCCTGGAACTACCAGTCCCAAACAGCAGCAGCATCTTCGAAGCAGTTTATTCAGTGACAGAACCACCTGGCAGCTCTGCAGTCAGACCTCCAGTCGCACGATGCCTGCACACTGGCATTCCAACAGACTTCTCCTTGCTCTGCAGATACACTTGGACAGTAAATTAGACTCATCTTCACGCTGCTGTTAGCTTACGCCTGGATTTCCCTCCACAACGCAAGGCCCTTTACGGCTGACCCTTCCAACCTTTCTCTTCACTTTTGGAGTAACACTGGCATTTGTCAACCCCTCCCTTGAGGCAACCCACTTCACTAACCCAGCACGCTCCCCCCCTTTGCCCAGAGGACACAGTGAGCACCTCAGGGACAGCTCTGGTCTGGCAGCAGCAAGCTCAAGCCATCTCTTCCGTCACAGCAACCTGTGAGCCCCCACGAGCCACAAGCCATGGCCCCAGAGGCACAAGCCTGACGAGACCGCCCTACCTGGTGGATCTGGAAGACTGACACCAGCGCTGCTTGGAGGTAATCACTCTGCGGCTGTTTGATGTGGAAGATCTGAATGGGATGCTGCCTGCCTTCTACATAGAGAACAGGAGCACCGTTGAAGTACTGGGAGAACTGGTCGACATCCATCGTAGCTGACATGATGATCACCTTCAATATGAGCATAAGATGGGTTAGCAGTGCAGCTTCGATCCGGCAGGACTAGCCAAAAGTCAGCTTCCTGAGACTGAGATGTGCTCAGAACAGCACAGAGTTTCGGACAGAAGAGAGTGATCTTTCCTCGTTAAAGCCACCAGCCTTGGTATCGCACAAGCGTAACGCGTCGGTGCGATAAAACGAGCGAAGACGTGTTAAAGTTCTTTTCTGACAGTTAATGAAGAGGGCCGAGCACCCCCAAAGCTAGGCTGTAGAATGGTCTGGGCAACGAGGCTGTGCTGGGACCCCATCGGTCCCCTACACGCCTCCCCCATCACGCTTTCACACGCTCCACCATGTGCGCACATCAACTCATCACGTGTCCACCCAGCACACACAGGCCACCTCCTCCCCCGGCACAAAGCCGTCCCATCAGACACAGCTCCTGTCTCCAGGGTGCTCTCAGCAAGAGCACCAAAACCTCCCCCAACAACGTGTGCAGTCCATAGCTCACTCCCAAGGGCTCTTGGGGAAAAAGGCAACATGAAGGTGACCAGATACCTCGTTCAGCGCTGTCACATCAGGCCCACACATCACCAGCTGGCCACCCGTAACTGCTCAGATTTAAAGGGACTTTTTAGGAACAGAAAACAGTCCAGGCTGAAACTTCAAACACTCTGGAAAACCCCAGGAGACCCCCGTAGCATTCAGAGTCCAAGCCCCATCCCTGCCACCCTCAGTGCACGTACTTTTAGCGGCAGTTTGCCCAGTTCTTTTCTTTTCCTTTGTGCAGCTTTCACCACTCCAAAGAGCACATCCGTATGGATCGTCCTCTCGTGGGCTTCATCCAGGATGACCACGCTGTACTTCCGCAGCATGGGGTCCCCGATGGCTTCGCGGAGCAGCATCCCATCCGTTAAAAACTTGATCCGGGTTTCATCAGACGTAAGATCATCGAAGCGCACGGTGTAGCCAACCTAGGGACGCGATCGTTACAGGAAGAGCAAGCACAACGTTACCTGCTCTTCTCACCGCCACCGCCCCGCGAGGAAGGACTACAGAGCATCAGCCAGAGCCCACTACAGCTCCAAGGAGGCTGTGGAAGGCGTAACGGTGCATTTGCAGCCTGTGAGCAGTTAATCTTGCAAACCGAACAAGCCACCCAAAGGATGCTCTCAACTCTGTATCCCAGTTGGCTTTTTCCCAGCCAGACCTTCACCACAAACATTCCAGTCTCCTTTCCTTCCTCCTCTGCTAGAAACTACTCTGTGGTCTCCACTTCTCTCCCACAGATGCACACATCTGCACAGATTCTGCTCTCCTTGACAGTGACTTTTGATACAGGAAGCAATGGAAGAGAGCACAGTATTTTTTGTTTTATTTGTTAATCAGTGTTTTTTCACTGATAACAATCAAGAAGTAAAATACCACAGAGACAGGGTCAAACATGTCCCCCCCCCAGCCACAGAAGCAGGTAAACAGCCATTTTTTTCGGTTCAGGTGTATTATGACATCAAGACTACCTGTTACCCCTGTGGCTGGTTTTTATCTTACCCATTAAGCCCTGACACAGCCCCATCGACACTGCAGCACTAACCCAGCTCTCTAAAGACTCTGTAAAGCAACCTACCAGTTTCCCCAGCTCCGTCTTCTTCTCATCTGAGACTCTGGTCGCTAAGGCTATAGCTGCTACTCTGCGAGGCTGGGTCACAGCAATGACGCCTTGGCAGCCAATTCCTGCTTCGTAGAGGTACTGAGGGGTCTGGGTGGTCTTCCCTGAGCCTGTTTCTCCTAAGGACCATCAAAGGAATAGGTTTGCCTTGTTACAGCACCTTCAAATGGAAGGTCCCAACTCGGTTTTTACGTTAACTTTTAACCATATTGCAGGACAGGAAGAGGCTCGACAGCTTGCCCAAAGCCACACCACAAAGCCGAGACAGAACCCGACGCCTTGCTCCAGCTGCCAGACCGCTCCTCTGCAAACCTCCTCTCAACCAGGTTCTCTCCAGCCACGCTCCGGTTTAGAAACACATTCCAGTCTGTCTGGGTGAGAAGGGTGCGTTGGGTAACACAGCCACCAGAAGCAGATAATCACGCAGAGGAAAGAACAAACCGATCTGGGTTTACGCACCCATTCACGCTACGCACTACGAAGTCTCCCAGTGAAGCCATAAGCAAAGCAAAGCAAAGCCTTTGTCATAACAGCAAGGAGCAAGTGAAGGTGGTTGGTTGGACCAGATGATCTTTCGAGGTCCCTTCCAACCCCCAACACTCGTGACTCTGTGAAGGGTCGAGGCTCTCTCAGAGGAGCACTCAGGGCACCAACAAGCCAGCAAGGCTTCCCCTGCGCCCTCCTGAAAACAGGGACGTCCCTTCAGGCTCAGGGGAACGCCTCCTCCCTCTGCACGGCACTGGCACACGGCGCAGCAACCGCCACCCCATCTCCCCCCGGCGCACCGCCCACACAAACGCCGCGCAGACCCCTCTGCCAAAGACGGCCACCGGTGCAAACCCCCAGCCGCCCTCGGTACCTACCACAGCAGCGGCCACAAACAGCGTCACGTACTGGGCACGGCACGACGCGGCACAAACCGCGGCGCTCAGAGGCACCGCCAGCGAAACCGTCCCGAAGCGCAACGGACAGGGAAGAGCAGGGAACGTTTTCAACATCGCTGCTGCCTTCCTGCACGTTCTATCGAAGCTCAAACCACACGGGTAACGCAGAGCCCCTCCGGCCTTCCGCCGGCCCGTTACGAGAACTGCTCTGCGTGAAAGAGCACGAGGCTCTGGGCAAGAGGGCCCTGCGCTCCCAGCCCTCGCGAGGCAGCACCAGCACGCAGCGCGCTGGGGGAGCGAGGCGAGAAGGGACGAGAGGAGGAGGAGGAAGAAGCAGGAGAAATTCGGAGGATGGCTACCAAGAAGAGAGGAATCGGAAAGCCAAATCGTCAGCGCTGCAGCTGCAGGCTGGAAAAAGCAGGCCTGAGCTTTTAGCTCACTCCACAGCTGCAAAACTTTAAGTGGCGTATTATGGCGTACATTTAGCAAGCAATAGTGACATTCTCGGGATTATACAGAGAAAAGAAGATAAACGCAGTCACATCTACCAGTTATCATGACCGGGTTTGGTTGGGTTTTTTAAGAGTTCACTTATAGGAGTGAAATACAAAGCATTTTGCATTTAATTCTAATAAATGCGGAGCCTTTAGACTTCCAGGTGGGAAGTTGTGTGTCTTCAGCTCCTAAAAGTCAGACAAGAAGCTTATCAGCTTGGACTCAAAGAAAACCTAGTAAAATTAGTGAATGTCCCTGAAAGTGTAGCTGAGGAGATGCTTTTTCCGAAGAGCGGGGTTTTGCCACTTGGCTTCACGTTGGCTGAGCCCCAGGTGGATAGTGAAAGAGAAAGGCGAGGGAAACACTTCTGCCTTCCCCCCGAAAACGAACCCGCCAGCTGCCTTCACCAGCCAAAGCTCACGAATAAAACGGCGGCTCATTCACCGCCTTCCAGCTTTACACCCCAACCGCCTCCGCGCACCTTCCCACAGGCCGCGCCGTTCCCCGGCGCCCAAGGACCGGCCCAACCC